GGTGCTTGTCCAAGTGGTTGGTTCGCTATCGCCGTCGCCGTGGTTTGCCCTCGTACAGACAGTGAGATGCTGATCAAAAGACAGAACAAGAAACGTTGTTGGTTTGCGTGCGACAAGCTCGATGGGAGATATTTGGATCAACTGTTGAGGTTTCTGTACTGACTCAGATGCACATCAAGTGTCCATCAAGGTTCCAAGTCTTGCAAACAGATGTAATGACGCGCAAGTGGAGGTGGATACACCAAGATGCCCGTTAACGTAAGATGGCTGTCTGGTCCGTCGAAATGGGCTTCCCCGTCTGTTCCCATGCACCGGCTAGCAGCCGTCGCAAACTAGAAAGAAAGACAGATGGGCTGACACCAGCAAGGACACTTCGCGGAATGGGGCGAGCTTCTTCGCAGGTACGTGGGGTAGCTGGAGAGGCTAGGCCGTCGTGGTGGTGCGAGCGCGAACCTGGCATCAAGGCCATCGTGGGAACAGACGGGAGTCTCGGACCTTTAAGCCATGTCGATATCGCTTTCACCATCCTTCATGGCCCTCCGACGGCCTGGGTGCCTGGCTCTGGGGTCGTCCAACACCTGAACCAGCATCATTCACCGGCTTGCCTAGGTTCATACGGCATACCAAAAGCAACCCCAGACTGCCTTGCCATCGAGGCTCGTTTAGATCCATGACGCGCGCACCTCCCGGCGGCTCTACTGCCTATTTTCAGGCATCCAGCAGGCTCGTCTCACGCGTCAGCATTCTTAAAGAGCCCACTCCCCCGAGAAAATGCCATTGGAGAGTACACGAGGCAGTCGGTTCTCAAATTTGGTCAACATACAGAGCCTCATCGTGACTCACGACGGCGCGGCTCTGCTGTTCATTGTGGTGGTTGCTGGAGGCCGTAGGCAATGAGCCAGTGATGAATCACAATGGGAAAAGAACGAACAGCGGACGCCCAGCTGCCTAGACTTCGGTGGGCAGTACTGAACAAGTAGCGGAATACCCCAGTCGGAATTTATGTTGGAGGGTTCCATTCTTACTGCCGACCCACGTCTTCCCCCTGGACGCGCAGCTGCAGCGACGCGCATTAGGGTGACCGGTGACCAACCGTGCCCCTGTTCTTCCAGTTGGCTCAGCAATTTTTTCAACACCGCCCGACTGGCTTCTACGAGATGTCAGCCAACATATTCGGGGCAACTATTGGTCTTGTGCCACGGTCAGCTTCTACCGCTGCGGCTCGGTTTGACCGCAGTAGGGAGTCTCTAGAGCATTCGTTCCCTCAGCTCGGTGATCGCCAAGGCCAATCAAGGACATGTATTCTCCAACAGCAGCATATCCAGCTACGTAGCTGTAGCTGCAAGACTGGTGGCACGGATCCCTGGCGCTGAGCACTCTCAGTATCCCTGTCAGTATGCAAGGTACATAGTGCTGTCACCTTGAGGTCTGCAAGCTGCAGTGAAAGCGCATTCTATCAGCGTCCATCTCCTGATGGTGCAGCCAGACGTCATCTTGGGCCGACTGCTGTTACCAATCACCTAGTTTTTCTACGAGACCCGCCACGAGTGCAGCATCTCAGCAGCATTAAAGGTCGAATAAAAAACCGCTGACCGGGCTCTTGGGCTTTCACACTTGGGCCGGCGCCAGCCCGTCATCCCATCCGGGCCAGCTTCCGGGCCTCCGTTGACAGCAAGCCCCAGCGCCGCTCACCGGATTGCGACCTTTCAGCATCCATGTCCGGTAACGAAGGTGCCGCTGAAGCGCCAAGCGACATCCTCCCGCGCTTCTGGCCTCGCCAGCCCACTACGGATCTCCCTGTCTCACCGCCAGTGATCTCGATGGTCAAAAAAGCAATGTTGTCTGCACCCCTGGCTGGATTGCAAGGGCATCCTATTGCACCTTGCCTGTTCCGCGCATGGCCTTTTCAGCGGCACGTTGGGTTTACATAGTACGACTGCAATCTACAAGTGAGCAATCGGTTCAACTTGCCCATGGTCTGATCTGATCTGATCTTACGAGGTCCCCGACGAAAGGACTTCGCATATCCTTTCGGCCGATAAGCCGACTAACTGTTCAAGATGGTCATGGGGCAAAAGCTCACATTCCCTTGATGCTTAATTTGAATTTGGATTGCTAATCCTGACCCTCTCCGCATCGGTTCCGGGTACTGTTGCCATCCGGCTCGGACATGCCTTCGTTCCCCAACTCTGTGCCGCGTCTCTGTCGCCGAGGAGTCCAGACAACGTCGCTAACCCACGCATTCCCCATGGCTTGGGCAAATGCCGAGAAAAAAAAGTCAAAAAAGCATAGAGTCGTGTGTTGACGGTCATTGAGTCCGAAGCTGTTGGCATGCCATCAGCTGGGATGTCCATGCCTAAGCAGCATCTGATAAGCAAGTTTGGCTTGTAAACGGTGCTTGGCATTGAGAGCCTCATATCGTCCTGCCCCGTTCGAACCCCGCCTCACCTATTCCAACGACGGAAGCTGTCTTGCTTCTGTCGTGGGGGTTTTGGAGGGAGTCAAGGCGCTTCTCAATCTGTGGACCTTCTTTGTAACCCCCCAGGCTTTGGCAGGGGCGACGAGCAAGGGACAGAGTGGACTGGCGCACCTCGCCCGTCAAGGCTGACGGGGAATTACTGGCTGAAAGTTGTGTGAGACACCACATGCCTGTGCTACCCTGCGGCACGCAAGTGCGAACCGATGTTGGAATTAGAATTCTTACGTCCGGATCGGGTCGATGCCAGCCTGGCATGGTTGCAAACTGGTATCTCGTTGCCTCGCACCGTGCTGGTGCTGCCTCTGTCGGGTCAGCAGGATCAACAAGCCTTGTGGCTTACTGACCTGGGATGTCATGTTACCTAGGTCAGGATGTTGGTGGTAGGACTTGTTCTTCACGCTGGGGTTTTGATAGGGCCACGCATGACAGTCTCAATCTCGCGAACCTCCAGGACGATGTAACCAGGTCAATATTGTCTTAGGACATTGTGGGCTGAAGAGCTTTCCTGCTTGCTACAAATCTTGACATGCTCACCCGTCGACTGTACATGCGAATAACTTTCTGCTATTCATGCCAATCTCAGACTTGCTTCATCTTAGAGACGAGTCGTGATAATGAGCCTCAAAGTGGCTGCTAGTTGGCTCGTCGTGTCCATATGCGGAGACTCTCAAGGGCGAGGGTAGCATTGCCGGGCGATTGTTTTCACCTTGGGAACCGTAGCAAATGGAAAGGTAAGCGACGATGAAGCGTAGCATATGTGGCAGCCAATCTTCATTGAGACAGGTATTTGAGACCACCAAACCGGTCAGCCTGGAGTGACGAGAGCAGGCCCAAATGTCGCGCTATCGGATCAGGAGGGCGAAATGTAGTTTATGAGCTTCTTGGGGAACATGTTAGTAAGCATAGCACCAGCAATGAAATTCAAGGCACTTACGACATGATATTTTTTCAGGTTGTTTGACATATATCGCTTTGAATAACAGGGAGACAACGAGGAATAAGGACGCTCGCTGTTTTCGTTGGAGCAAGGGCAATGCTTGTCAGACGCACCGTAGGACCTCGACTTTTGAGCTCTTTCCATCTGGCGGGGAGGAGAACGAGATAGGCAGTTTTGCAATTTGCCGGTGAGTGTCAATAGAAGATGGAGCAGATTAAGTACCTGAAGGTAGGTCAGCAACCCAAAATTGACATTGATTGTGCAGGCTGGCTGGTGAGTTCCTACATAAGGACCTTTGGGGTGCCCTTGAGATTCAGAAACGACACAATATGAAGGGAGGTTTGTGTTGCTGATGTTCAAAGACAAGAAACAAGCTTGGAAACACGTCCGGTAGATGAAGATCTGGCTGACTTCCGAGGCGGCTGCTAGCGAAAGAATGGTCATCTTCCCTGTTAGTCTCTGGTCTCATTGGAATATTCGACGAGATTTGCGACGAATATACTGGCTAACCATTATCGTTGATGTCCAAAGACTTGTCATCTTTTGAAAGGTGTGATGCTTTTGAAAGGTGTGATGAGATTCCACATTGGTTTGGGTGCCGCTTTCAAGTACGGGATCGCCGAAGAATTGATTTGCACACTTGAATCAGGCCGGGTGGTTAGGCTTTATACAGTAGCTGGATGCTTTAGACTGAGTATCATCAAGATGAGATAGTCACGATGGGAATCTCCGCGTCTGTCGTATAGTCGTCGTTTTCATGCGTCGACACGTTCGTGCCTTGTGAGCAGGTAATTGGCATGTTGATTGCAAGCGAATGCTTAAAGACTCTATACGTGTAGGTCTTCGTTGTCTCGTATCATGTCTAGAGTATACTGTCCAGATGATAGGAATACCTCCTGCCAAGAGCGACTCGTACATCCGAGGCATGGCTTCAATTCGCAGTCATGACCATCTCACTACAGATACCAGGGTAGTATCACGTCTACGACAAGATAGTAATCTATTGCCGCTGCCGTGCAAATGATGAACAAGAGCGAGGCCTTTATGCATGAGGTATTAGATTCCCAGCTTGACGCTAGAGCTCGTCGTGTCTATCTGATATTTAGCGACACACGTTATGGATTTCTCCCCGCAGCGAGTGTAACAATTGCCAGCGCGGTGCTGAGATTTGAAGAAGATCGAAACACATCATGATAAACGATAAATGAGTGATGTTTCCGTTGTTGATTTAGAATTGCAAGTCGAGCGTTATGTACTATAGACGATTCGCAGGGAATACGTCTTTGACGCTAGCAGAAATGAGTGACGATGAAGGTTTCGAGAGAGCCAACATTAAAGGGGCTCGGAAACATCTGCCTGCAAGTAACTGTTCACGATAACATACGTAGAAGTATTCACAAAGGAATAGGCACAAGAAGATGAAGACCGGAAACGCGGTCTATTGCTGCTTTAGCAGCAGAAGCTATCGGTGACTATCCTGGGACAGAGGCCCGCAAGGACCTCTGTCCCCTCTCAGCGTATCATCATCGTCGTCGTCGTCTGCTCTCGCCGTGGTGGGGGAGACGGCAGAAAGAAGCACCCCTTTTAGAAGGCGTGGTACTCATTGGCCCGCTCCTCGACACCCCTCATATACTCCTCCTCCGTCTGGGGAGGGGGAGGAGGAGGAGAGGGGCCCCGAGGATAGGCGGGGGACAAGGCTCGGGCGCGAGCAAGGTCCTCCTCGGTGAGGGAGGAGGGAGGCGGCAGACGGGCACCGTGGGGGAGGGCGCGGAGACGGCCGGCGGGGTCCTTCGAAGGTATCAGTACGCATAAAACAAGGACGACGGTGAGGAACGACGCCGGAAGACGCCGGGAGACAAAAAAGGGGTAACTCACAACCCAGCCACGGCCAACGCCGATGCGCTCGCGGAGGCGAGTGGCTTGAGCGGAGAGCTCCTCCGCGGAGTAGCCGCCAGGGCGCGAGGTATCGGAGGTAGCACGGCGGCGACCCTCCTAAGGAGGCCTGCCGTAACCACCTCCGAAGAGGTCGTCGTCGCTGCCGCTGCCGCTGGCGGCGTCACCAACGGTGCGGCGGCGGTGGACGCGGTTGCGCTCAGCAGCGCCAGGGATGGCGATGGGGGAGCTGGCGCGGGGAAGGGGGCTGGCGGCGCGACGGACGGCGGGGGCAAAGGCAGAGGCCTCGTCGAAGGTGGCGCGCAGGGGGGTGGCAGCGGCAGCGGGGGAGGAGGCGGCAGACCCGTAGGAGGGGGTGCGGGCCGGGGAAGGACGAAGACGGACGCTGGCGAGGACGCGGGCGCGGGCGTTGACGGCAGGGGAGAGGGGGCCAACGGGGAGAGCGGCGGAAGACGGGGAGGAGGAGGGACTGGCAGGGATGGGGGTGGTGGCGGCGCGGGCACGGCGACGACCACGCTCCTCGAGGGAGGGGGAGGGGGAGGCCTGGCCGTCGTTCTGTATCGTCGTCGTCAGTCTTCGTCCGTAGAGTAATCAAGAGGGGCTTGTACGTACGGCGGCGGGGGCGTCGTAGGCAGAGCCGCGGGACATGGTGGGCGAGGCTAATGGTATTTATCTGCTTTCGCGGTCAGTTGGCTTCCTCAGAAGTGAAGAAAGGGGCCAATCTACCGGAGGGTCTTGGAGAAGGTGAAGGACGATGCTGGACGCCAAATACGACAAGGACGGTGATGAAAGCTGGAGACGGACGAGGACGAAAGCCGAAGATAACGAAAGCCAATGGCGATGAAGGCCAGAGACGAAGAAAGCCAGAGATGATGAAAGCTGGAGGCGACGAGAGCCAAAGATGACGAGAGCCAAATACGACGACAGCCAAAGACGACAAGGACAGCAAGGATAGAGCTGAAAAATGGTGATGGACGAAAAAGGCGGCCCCAGCAAAATCGCGAGAAAGTGGTCCGGAGGAAAAAGGAGACAAAAGGAGAGCCAGCAGAAAACAAAACAGAAATCTCTTCAAGGACCTCTTTTTGGCGTGGGGCATGATTATGTCGTTAGGGCAAGGCACTCTCATTCAAGCCGCAAGAGGAGGGCTGTGGCTGAGTAGCTATGATGTCGTCCTGGTATCGCCATGTTGTGGTGTTGACCGGTCGAGGGGATCTAACTGGTGGTCACCTAGAAGGCTATAAAGAAGGAAGGAGTCTAGATTATGGTAAAAGAAGGTACAGCTGTCAGCATTCGATTGACCTTATTGTCCATAGGTATCTTTGAGGTATCATGAAGGGTATCATCCTGTCTCAAGACTCCCATTTATTGAGCTCCTACTACAAACTCTCTCGATACCCTCATCAACTCCGAGTGTTACTGATTTGCGTCATGAGCTCTTGGTCTTCCTCTCACCGCAATTTGGCTCAACGAGAGCTACTCCAAATGGAGCACTATTAGAAAATCAACCGTGAAACGCCCTTGAACGCCTTCCTCTCCGTATTACGCCTCTACCCCTTCCAAAGCACCTCCCCCACATGCCTCACATTTCCCTGACTCGGTGAGCTTGGGCGTATTGCAGCCGTTGGGGTCCTTCTTGTGCTGCTCCTCGCTCTCCTCCCGTCGCTTTCGCTTGGCATATGCTTGCTGATTCTGCTCGTAGGCAATCTTTCCGATGGCATCCATGTGCTTCTTGACAAACTGCTCGACTCTGTCGACATTCCATCTGCCGAATCTGTCCTTGAGCGGCTCCTCTGGAACGATACCGCCGTAGCTGTCGTTGCCCTCGAATATAATTCTCTTCAGAGCTTTGCTCTGACAGCCGCGGTACTGGCACGGTTTGGGGTCCGTGGTGTCGATAGCAGGGATCCAACTGCTTTTGAGTTTTGCCATGATGGTAAGAATGTCCTGGTCGTTGAGAAATTCAGTGTGCCGTGTCTCGAATACCTCCTTGACTCCTGGGAATCTCTCGAAAGCCTCCGCGCGAACCGACATGATGGTTCCCGGGACCTGAGTAAACCGACCCTCCTTTCGGCACTGGGGGATGAACTTGTTGATGAAGTCGCTGTAGGCTTGTCGGGAGGTCATGCGCTTCCTGTCGCTGTGGTTCAGCTTCTTCTTGCTCGGCTCAGGTGTCTGTACGTCGGCAGTGACAGTAGGAGTCCGCGTTGAGGGCGTAGCTGGCAATACCGAGGCTTGACTTCTCGATGAGGGAACGGAACTTGCGGGCGTAGGAGGTGGAAGTGAGCTCGAGCTTGCGGGAGACTTGGTCGACATTGTGGTTGAGGGTGAGGCAGTCCGCGTAGGAGTAGCGGGTGCTGCTGGCGATGACTGGTTTGAGGGAGGAAGAGAGCAGAAAAAGCGGCATGTGGCGGCGTACTCATACATATCTTCAAGCGATTCGAACGTTGAGTCCCAGATGTGGCTGTCGGCAGCCAAGCCAAGGAAAGTAAGGATTTCGTAAGGATCCTGCGTGAGGAGCACTCTAGCTCTCTTCCTGTCGAACTTCTCCATCTCGACTATACGCACCCATAGAGACTCTTCATCTACCGTGAGGCCGTATGGTCGGATGATTGTGCCGAGGATGCTCCAAAGGTCTCCATGAGCATGCTTAAACAGCTTCCAATGCAGTTGTTCCAAGTTGTCGCAGATGGCGATGTCAATCTGGCAGTATCGCCCGGAAGTTGAGGTCGAGGTGTCTTCTCCCTCTGCCACAGTGCCGGTATCAGGCCATCGAACGGCGTAATGGTCGGTTTGCTTCTCGACTTTGAGAAATGGTGCCCCTATAGCTTCTTGAATGGCCTTGCAGGCGTCCTTCTTCCCGTCTTTTCCAAAGGGCGGGTAATCTGAATGGGAGTCCCCCAGTACGATGGATCTCTCCAAGGCAACCAGGATGTCGATATCACCGTAGTCTTTCTTGGCTGGACCTTCGATGGGGCTAGCGACGCAGAGGTAAATCTTTCTAAGAGCAGCGTGGCACTCGGCCTTGACGCGCTCGTAGACCTCGGGAGGCATTCGAGGGGTGTTGAGAGGCTTGTCGCCCGCGGTAAAGACGGAGCCTCCCATGTTTGGAGAGGTTGAAGAGAAACAACGACGAGGTGGGAATGTGGCGAGATTCTTTGGTTTGAGACGAAAGAACGGTGCAATTTAAGCGCAAAGGCCCTAATAGGACGCAGGATCGGAGGTGACTAAGAGAAGCTGTGAGTCAAACGGCCAAACGGACGCCTGCCTCGGACTCTTCAAAGGCAACAGCCGCAGCATGTACGTTCGCGAAGAACGGAAGGAACAAGAAAGAGCCGCCTTGAATTTCCCACAAGAAGGAGCATCAAAGCAGGCAGGGAAGACTCCACGCAAGGCAATAGGACCTTGAAGGAGCAGTACCTACCCTGCAGAGATCGATGCAACTAATGAGGCTTTCGCTGGCCTTCAAAGGCTTCCGAGACACCGAAGATAACTATTTACTCATTTATTCGATGCGATTCGCAGTTTTCTGTCGAAGACTCAGCAAGGTATCCCTAGATTGATGGAGAATGATGGGGGGCAGATTCGGCAAGTTGGCTCCAAATTCCTGAGCGCTTCTTCAGCAATCACGGCGGGGTTCACTGGGGCGTGTGTATTTCGTTCCAGCACTGTGTAAATCGACCCTATCGACCCCGTCACCTCTTCTGACTGTTCGGCATGAATTCAGCTCTGATACGGGATGTGTGAGCTGCTCAAAGTGTGCTTGATAAGTAAGTCACTAGACAACTTACGAGTTTTACTACAGAAAGCGGCAATGCCGTTCTCCAGGTGCAAGGTCACAGTGACGCTGGCCTGGTAAGATCGGACAAGTAATCAAGTCAAAGTTCCTATTCCCACGAGTTTGGGAAGGCCCGGCTGCGGTAATCGAGTCCCTCGTGTCTTTTCTTCGGAATTTGAGAAGATCCGAGACGCCGCCGGAGCAGGTTCGGTCGAAAGTGGGGCGACAACCGGCCCAGCTCCGGCCCAGTCCGGAAGCCCCGCCTCCGAGAAGGTCACAGTGGTGTGTGCTGCTTTGCACCCGCTTAATCCGACTGCACTAAACCGAAAGTGACGCAAATATCATCAGTTGCACCAGTTGCGGCAGCGCAGCTACCTGTCTACCTGCCCTTTGGCAGCCTTTGAGGCTCTTGCAATAAGGGAAAGAGCCGGCCAGAGGGTTCCAGGCCAGGAATATTTTCGCCAGTCGCGTCAAGGCTTCCACTTCCTTCCCACAACTCTCCTTCTCCATCAACACCTCGGTCAAGCCACAGACCGCCTCTTCTTTCCATCTACCTCTCGACTTACACTGCGCAGGACCCTTGTCAGGCCTGAATCCCCTCTTCCGTCAGGGTCCTATCGACTCGCATCGCCTCAAGGCTCCTTTTTTTCTTCGTCGTCGAATTACCTGCTCCAAAGAAAGCCGATCAAACCACACGCCATCATATCCTATGTGGGTGACTGCTCAATCCAACGCGCTGGCACTACTAACGATCGAGCAGTTCCAACTCTATCCCCCTTCTCCGCCGTCCTGCACAACCTTCGGCTCTTCGCACCCGACGTCTTGGCTGTCCATATCTTACGAATATCTATCCGAATCTTAGACGAAAAGACCAGTCTCAGCGACAATAGACACCCCGAAACTCGCAGTTTTGGAGTCCACACCTACCTATCATGGCCGACATCGTTGACTTGAGACCCAACGCGGTCAACATGGCAGCGGTCGCCAATGGAATAGCCACCGCCAGAAGTGGAAATCCTGTGGTTGATTTGTAAGTTCGGCGAGCTCTTCGGCTCTTTCCTTCTCAGCTACTGACAGAAGTCAGGCATGTCGACGACTATGTCCACCTACACTGCGGCGGCAAGGTATTCATTGTCTTTCGCGACGTCATCGTTGCGGGTTCGATGTATTTCGAATGCTGCCTCTTCGGCTTCTTCAAGGAGACCCTTGAGCAAACGATCTTCCTCGACGACGTCGATGTCGAAGCCTTCGAGTTCTATCTCAACATCGCGCACGGTTGGTTCTTCGAAATGAAGGTTCGCGGCGTCCGGGTTGTGCCTCCCAGAGTCTTCGACGACCAAATCAACGCCATCATGCAAGGTCCTTGGATGGAAAGCCGTCTGGAAATTCCCCAGATGAAGCTTGCCACAATGGCCAAGACGGTCATTCTGGGCGACCGTTTTGTTCACCGCCCTCTTCTTTCTATCCTGAGACACATGTTCGTCTCTCTCCTCGAAGTCACCCAAGACTGCTGGAACAAGCTCAAGAACAAAACCCGCGACTGGGATGAGGTGTGGCATTCTGAATTCATGCTGGACTTCATTGAGGCGTTTGATCTGCTCTCGACAGGACACGACGATGAGAAGCTCTTCAGAGACTCCCTCACCGAGACATTCTACTGGTTCAGCCGCCCCGTCACCGGCCTTATTGACTACTTTGGGCCCATCCTGCCTTCTGAGTTCTCCCACGAATTGCACTTGGAAAGAGACGGGCAAGACAGGATGCGCAAGAGACAGCACGCCTGGGGAATCTCTACGACAGACCAAATGATGTACGCGGCTAAGACTCGCCAGCAAAAAGATCGAAGATTCAAGCGTGTTGTGAACCTCTGCTGTCCTAAGCCGCGTGGCGAGTGGCTGCCTTGGTTTCACGACCCCGAGGAAATCAGAATCCGGAAGATTTATCTTGATGACACCGCTAAGGCTCGATTCCCACGTCCTTCGGCAATTCGCTCGGGCGCACGCTCTTTTGTCCCTGGTGCTACTACCCACGGTGTCTCTAGTTCAGAAGCTTTCACTCCCAAGACTCTGCGTCAGGAAGCTCAAAGCATCGGCAGAGACTCGCGCCTTGGCAACAATCAACGACCTGACAGCCGCCAACATCGCAAGCCGCGAGGAGGGAAGGGCTCCCGTGGCAATCTTCGCGCCGTAGAGGCGAGATATTCATCGCGAGACAACGGCTACTCTGGCAATGCCTTAGAAATTGGACCTCCTATTGAGTCCCAGCTGTCCAACCTATCCACAGTCATCACTGAGCCACTTCCAATCAGTGATGCGAGCAACATCCACAACGTCTCAGAGAATCCCACCGGCAATCACCCTGCTTGGTCCCACGGGCAAGTCAATCACACAGATGTGGAGGCGGATGGCATGCCTGGAAAGAAGAAGAACAAGCGGAGAAATAGGAAAAAGAAGCAGCAGGAACAAGGAGATTCGGCTGGGCAGGGCAACGATTCACAGCAGGTTCGTCAAGCTCACCTGCAGCCACCTTCCTGTTTCCAGGTCAATGCAAAGTCTGTCCTGCCCTCGGGCCATGGAAATGGCGAGCCTGCCCGTCGCGGAAGAGCCGAGCAAAACAAGCGCGGCAGTGGAAAGCGTGGGCGAGGTGGCGCAAGACCTCAGCATCCGAGCGGTAGCGAGCCCTCGTCCTCGGACGAGCCTCACGCATCTGCAATCACAGGCAGAGACGGCAATGCTGCAGACCATGCAGGGCAATCTGGCACTAGGGGCCGTGGCTGGGGCAGACGCCGTGGAAATGGAAGCGGAGGGCCGTCAAACCCGGATTGGAACTCTATCTCGGTGGCCTCAGATGTCTAGTGTGTCCATCGAAAATCGACAAACAAGGCAACTATGTCTGGCTCTGAAGACACTCCAATGTCTCAGAGCAAAGCTTCTCGAGCTGATCAGAATTGGCTCTCATGGTGGTCAAATCAATGAGTTGACGCCATCGAACTTGCTTTTGCTTCAATGTGTCACACGTCAACCGCACTGTGACGTCAAAGATTGCTTTCGACCTTTTTCAGAGAGTATTTCCTACTCTTCACTTGCTTTCATGGGCTTCGACTGGGGTCAAATTTGGTACGAGATTTCGGAATGTGTATAGACGGGCGGCTCAGTCTTCTCAGAGTCAGATTTGATGTATCAGTCATAACTTTGCGTCGAATGGAAATGGGATCTTTCAGGTATTCAGCTCCAGGGTTACACGAGGTTTGGGTTTCCTAGACTAGGTAGATTTCATAGTACAAGAAAAGTTTCACAACAACGGTCCGCACACTCTTTGTTTGTGATGCCGAGAAGGGAACCGAGATGAAGGACGCCGACAAGGACGCTGACAAGGAGAAGGCCAACGACTCCTAGTCTTCTCGAGGCGAACCGAGATCATCAACCTGACCGATGATTGAGCAACCTCCGACATATCGATTATCAGTAAGATGTGTCCGGTTCTGTTCAGATTCGTCAGGTCTCTACTAGGAAGGCGGTTGGTATGAACCAGAGATGTTGGAAGAAAGCTGGCATCAAACTCTTTGTACCTGTTGGACGTGTGGTAGTGGTGCACCGTACCTGTTCAAGCCGGGCAGTCATAGCTCTGGCCACGGCGACAGGTGTTCGGTACGTTCAACCTCTGGCTGACCTGAGATACCTGGCTGACATCTTTATTCTCATGTCATCGTTGACACCATTGTACTCCGGATGCGGGTGTTTGTGGCCAACCGCGTCGCTTACGCGCTCAAGGGAGAGTCCTCGCGGAAGAGACAATGGTGAGCTCAAAGGTCCTGAGGTAACAATAGGGGGTCCGAGTCCGCAGTCAATGCCTAGGTCTCCCTTGAGGGAAGGTGTTTGGCTTCATCAAAAATGACAGAGGCATAGGTAGCGTAGTCGAATTTGATATGAAGGCCCGATCTCCTGGTCGTTCCCCGAGACGTCAGAGTCCATCAAGCAGGCGACGATCTAACAGATATTGAGCCTTCGAAAACACGTCTTCAATCTCGCTGTCATAACCCTATCGCTTGACTCCTCCTCATTTGAACGAGTCTCTACAAACGTCAAGCGTTATTCTTCAGAAAGCCTGCAACATGCTTCCTCTGTCGCTGGCCAGCACTTATCGAGAGTACAAGCGCGACACTGATGTGTTGGCTTCCTGGCTCGCTCTGACTGCTCGGTCTCACGGATACAAAGGTGATGTGGCCTCTGCTGGTAACGAGCCCGGAGACGGATCGAAGACAGAGACGCAGACCGCCAAGGGGGATGACACCGCCATGGGAGATCACACCGGCAAGAGAAATGACAACGGACGGCCATCGAGATACAAGGTGGCCATCCGAAACTTCGTGCCCCTGGCTGAGTCCGTAGCCTCGATCAAGCCAGCGATCAGCACCCCTCCGTCCATCGTGAACACGATCAACAGGGTCATCACTGCCCGATCGGATTTCGCCTCAAAGGTGAAGGATTTCAGCGGCCTGGATGCCCACGCCGTCGAAGCGCATGCTTATTTCGTGGGGATTATCGAAAAGGTCCAAGATATACTGGTTCCCAAGGATGTGGCGAAGACCCGGCAGTTTGTTGCTTTATCAAACGAGGAGACTACAAACCGGTTTGCTGCTCTGGACTTCGAGGATCCCTCGACCGACTTCCTGAACGCTCCAGATATCGACAAACCCATGTCCCAGGCGGCTCCTGCGGCTCCGGCGTCTCACGCACCAGAATACGAAGCGGAAACCTCAGACGAGCTCAACACCCTGGACGCGATCATCATCTTCGCCTTGATGGCAAGCGATCTCGCAAGAGTTCGTGTAGTGATCATTGACACCTGGGGCAGAAATGCCCGCGGAGAACTCACCCTGTCTGCGGCCGCGCTCACCACATCAGCCGCCGTTGATCTCGCGAACCACGCTGTCAAGGATATTCTTCCCATCTTCGAAGCTCAAGGAGGTGTTTGGGAGGTAGCTCAGCAATTCGTCGCGCTCGTCTGTGCCAAGAATGGTCCTGATACGGAAACCCTCAGTTACAGCCAAGGCACGACGCTTATGTCCGAAGACATGTACACGACGTACGACCGATCCCTACTTTGTGTCTACGCAACCCTTAATGCCTGTCTTCAGTCTATGAAGGAGGGAAAAGACCTGGAGGTCCCCATGTTTTCGGGCCCGAAGTCACTCGATTGGGTCATGGAAAAGCGTGGACTGTCTGGCAGCCAGCGATTTGAGCAGGACCAAGACGCAGTCATCCGCTTGGTTTCAAACTGTAAGGGTCTAGGACAAGGTCGGTGCCATTGGTCTAGCCTACTACTACGAGCATTCCAAGCTGGAGGAAAGAAGAACCATTCTGGGAAAGAGTGGTGCCCTTCTCATCTTTAAATACATGTGAGTCTTCTTCCAGAAG